CCTTGAGTCCAGCCTTACCTCTGTTCTGGGGGCTGCATCATGTTGTCTGTATCATGTCCTTCCTGCTACATTATGAGAGCTTGTCTCTTAATACCTGTTTAATGACTGCCTCGCTTTGGTTGTACAGAAAGAGGAAGGAAAAGGGACAACAGACATGGAGTCATGGGACACAATCAAATGAAAGTTGTTCTCCATTTACTGTTCTTCATGTAAGTGGCAAGGGAGAGGAAAACCCAGGGACCCCAGTCAACAATGTGCCAAACACAATATACACAGATGCAACACAACATACACAGATGCAACACAACATACACAGATGCAACGCCATATACAATCTCTTTATTCTACTGGGGGAAGGTTTTCATTTGTTCAACTCAGAAAACAAATATTTGTTTATTGAATTCTTTCAAAAATAACTGTCAAACAATATTATACACTAGAAGGATTGATTGCAAAAGAAAGTGGGTGGTCTCAATATTTTACTGATAAGTAGGACCGAATAAAACGTCAAGAGGGATGGGCCTGATTTCATATAAAAAGGAAAGGTGTTCCTGATCACCAGTTATATGACAATTCAAGTAGTTTTTTTGTTTTTGTTTGTCGTTGTATTTCTAAAAAGAATTAATATACATACAGTGGGGAAAAAAAGTATTTAGTCAGCCACCAATTGTGCAAGTTCTCCCACTTAAAAAGATGAGAGGCCTGTAATTTTCATCATAGGTACACGTCAACTATGACAGACAAATTGAGGGGAAAAAATCCAGAAAATCACATTGTAGGATTTTTTATGAATTGATTTGCAAATTATGGTGGAAAATAAGTATTTGGTCACCTACAAACAAGCAAGATTTCTGGCTCTCACAGACCTGTAACTTCTTATTTAAGAGGCTCCTCTGTCCTCCACTCGTTACCTGTATTAATGGCACCTGTTTGAACTTGTTAGCAGTATAAAAGACACCTGTCCACAACCTCAAACAGTCACACTCCAAACTCCACTATGGCCAAGACCAAAGAGCTGTCAAAGGACACCAGAAACAAAATTGTAGACCTGCACCAGGCTGGGAAGACTGAATCTGCAATAGGTAAGCAGCTTGGTTTGAAGAAATCAACTGTGGGAGCAATTATTAGGAAATGGAAGACATACAAGACCACTGATAATCTCCCTCGATCTGGGGCTCCACGCAAGATCTCACCCCGTGGGGTCAAAATGATCACAAGAACGGTGAGCAAAAATCCCAGAACCACGCGGGGGGACCTAGTGAATGACCTGCAGAGAGCTGGGACCAAAGTAACAAAGCCTACCATCAGTAACACACTACGCCGCCAGGGACTCAAATCCTGCAGTGCCAGACGTGTCCCCCTGCTTAAGCCAGTACATGTCCAGGCCCGTCTGAAGTTTGCTAGAGTGCATTTGGATGATCCAGAAGAGGATTGGGAGAATGTCATATGGTCAGATGAAACCAAATTATAACTTTTTGGTAAAAACTCAACTCGTCGTGTTTGGAGGACAAAGAATGCTGAGTTGCATCCAAAGAACACCATACCTACTGTGAAGCATGGGGGTGGAAACATCATGCTTTGGGGCTGTTTTTCTGCAAAGGGACCAGGACGACTGATCCGTGTAAAGGAAAGAATGAATGGGGCCATGTATCGTGAGATTTTGAGTGAAAACCTCCTTCCATCAGCAAGGGCATTGAAGATGAAACGTGGCTGGGTCTTTCAGCATGACAATGATCCCAAACACACCGCCCGGGCAACGAAGGAGTGGCTTCGTAAGAAGCATTTCAAGGTCCTGGAGTGGCCTAGCCAGTCTCCAGATCTCAACCCCATAGAAAATCTTTGGAGGGAGTTGAAAGTCCGTGTTGCCCAGCGGCAGCCCCAAAACATCACTGCTCTAGAGGAGATCTGCATGGAGGAATGGGCCAAAATACCAGCAACAGTGTGTGAAAACCTTGTGAAGACTTACAGAAAACGTTTGACCTGTGTCATTGCCAACAAAGGGTATATAATAAAGTATTGAGAAACTTTTGTTATTGACCAAATACTTATTTTCCACCATAATTTGCAAATAAATTCATAAAAAATCCTACAATGTGATTTTCTGGATTTTTTTTCCTCATTTTGTCTGTCATAGTTGACGTGTACCTATGATGAAAATTACAGGCCTCATCTTTTTAAGTGGGAGAACTTGCACAATTGGTGGCTGACTAAATACTTTTTTCCCCCACTGTATATCTATATTTTTAAATGTAATTCCGGTTTGTGTTTTTGTAGTTGGTTAGTGTAATTGCTTGTTTGCTTTTGTGTGTCCACCACACCGAGGTAGTGGGCTGAAGAGGGTATGGCGGGTAGTCTGGGGGACCATGAACATTTAGCAAACTTTAACAAATAAAAAATTGCCTAAAGAAGCTTTGGTAGAAGATTTATTCACTCAGGTAATTTCCAGACAAGCAAATAAACACATTACTTCATTGAATCATGATATAAAGCAACACTATATAAAGTACCTCATATGAGTAAACCGTAAACTCGCCATCTGACAGAGTCCGCAGAGAGGCAGGCAGGCTATACCCAGTCATCACACAAGGAACCCTGTGTAAATACAGACAGGTTAACATAAATCATGACATCACTCACTATGAGAACTTTTTCTTGACCACGTGACCTTAAAAAGGGAAATCTCAGCCAGGCCGCAGTTTTAGGCTATAAATAGGGTCAGATTTTTTATTGGTCAGGTCATGTTGTCAGGAAAAACTCCTGGCCCTATTACAAGGGAAGTCTATAAAGGAGGGTGAAGACACAGAGACAGACACTTGCCACAGCAGCAAGATCCATACAACATTGAAAGGCGCCATTTTGGTGGTGCTTCCTCATCCTTTTCTGCTCCCACCTACTATCCACTAGACAGCCATCAGCTCCACCCTTTCTATCACTTCAACCGCCCCCCAACCAGCCCTGGAATCCCCAGGTCCCACCTTCCTGACATTGCCTATTATCCCCCCTCCCACATGCTGGAGAGTAGCCTGTCTCCTCCTCTGCCCCCCGGGTCCCTGCCTGCTTTCCCCAGCCCTGAACGCTGGTCTTTCCCCCGGATGAGACTGTACTGATCCACATCCACTGTGCCTGTCCAGAGACTGCATAGAGATGCTTCTGTGTAGTAGAGACATACATAAGCACAATGCTTAAGCTATATGCTATGTTGTTGAGTGAGTATTTTCCAAATGCATAGTCTAATTGTTTACAATTACAACTGACTTTTTTTTTCTGTTGAATACCATCATATGATAGGCAGAAAGACAAAGTGCCAGCCAGGAAATATTGTTTGCATTTTAGTTAAATGTGTGAGAAAACATGACTATCTTTTCAAATATTTTCTTTTATGTCTTTCATATACTCTAAAAATACTTACAGCCTGGACAGTGAAAACACAATTATGCAGAAGAAAAGTAACAACAGTAGCAGATTGTATTTTTTATTGCATGAATACTTCTAATTGAAACGTGTGCATGCAAAAACATACAGAAGTACTGTAAAATCAAATACATTGCAGAACTTATACAGTATGCTGTTTACAGACAGCTACAGTGGACTAGTCAACTATCGCAAAACAAAATATCCACAAATGTGTCCCTCAGGTTTTCTTATTGCCACTGGGCCTACTCAAAGTATACTTTATTATTTTTGACAATCAGAATTCTTTAGCACAGATGATCAAATACATGAATCAGCATGAATACATTATGCAGATGATTTTCTGCTGTCCATGTCAAGATCTCAATTGCATACTCCTCGCATCCTCTCTTCTCAGAGGTCCCTCCCCTCTGAACTTCTCCTCAAATGGGTTTTGAGGAGGAAAGAGAACGCGACTATGTAATTGATATTCTCCCCATTTAAGATATACCGAATAAAATGAAACCTGTGAATAAAATACTGTACATAGTAACGCACTGTGTTTTATATTAAAATCGAATAATAGATCATTCATTTATTTGTTTTATTTTGTGTATTACTCATTGAGAAAGCGATATTTACCGTCAAGAAGTATACTTATAGAATATGTAAATTAACTTTGCAACATGATTTGTCAGGATACGTCTGATCATCTTATTCCCGATGTCCATTTCCATTTTCCTCTACATCTTTTAAATGTACATACAGTATTACAATATTGTTAAGTACTGATCACAACAGGATTAAGTTTAGTTTTTTCCATGAGAGCAAATTACAAACGCAAACAAATGATGACTTTAGCTTATTATTGCAATCGATGAAAGCATAAACAATACTGGATTTCAAGCAAGTAGAAATACTGAGGGCACATTTACAAGAGCATAATTTCAGTACTTTTACTACATTGAACTTTGTTTCATATCCAGGAATCAGGCTGCTGCCAGGGTAAAGTGTGTCCTCTAACCCTTTCCTTACTCATTAAGTAATAGGTCTCATCTGTCGGTGTATTATGTTTTGAGCCAGTGAAATCTACCAATGAGAAGTATTATAGAATATTTAAATTAACTTTGCAACATGATTTGTCAGGGTACGTCTGATCGTCTTATTTCCCATGTCCATTTCCTTTTCCCTCTGCGTATTTTAAATGTATATACAGTATTACAATATTATTTAGTACTGAACACAACAGGATCACAACATGATTACATTTGTTTGCCATGAGTGCAAATTACAAAAGCAAACAAATTATGACTAGTTTATTATCGGAATCGATCAAAGCATAAGCAATGCTGTATTTCAAGCAAGTAGAACATCATGGTACTGAGGGCACATTTACAAGAGATTCAGTTCCTCTCTCTGTGTATGTGTGTGGATGTGCATAATTTCAGTACTTTTACTACATATAACTTTGTTTCATATCCAGGAATCAGGCTGCTGCCAGGACAAAGCGTGTCCTCTAACCCTTTCCTAAAGGCATTAAGTAATACTTATCATCATCCGTTGGTGGCTGATTGAAGTATTCTTCCCTCCCCTCTTCCTCATCCTCCTCTTCAAACCTGCTGCTCCCGTTCCTCAGCGCCCTCCTCAGATGATTCCAAAACAGTTCCTGGGCTTTGACCGGGTCGGTGCAGTCTGACCCCCGGCCACTGCAGGTAGGTCTTCTTCAACATGACCTGTCTCATACGGTGGTAAGCCAACAGCTTCCTTTCAGGGATGGGCTCCAGGAAGATTAGCAGGAGCACGTCCCAGAGCTCGTGGAAGAGCCTGTAGCTGGCCAGCTGGATCTCCAGGGAGCACCAGTCGCTGTGCAGGAAGTGCCTACTAACCACGCAGATGGTTTTGCGGCTGCTGTACATGGAGGAGATGATGTTGTCCACAATGTTGCGGCCCAGCTCAAAGTCACGGTGGTGCAGGCACACCCGGAAAGAGGCTCCGTTGCCCTCCAGGTTGGGAAGTAGCTGGTCTAGTACCCAGGGCTCGTCCACCGAGTTATAGGCGATGAAAGCATCATATTTGCAGTGCTCCTCTTTCTCCCTCAGCCTGTGCCAGTGTTGGCCGAACCAGGAGCGGAACACATAGTAACTGTACTTTAGTTTCCAATACAGCTTGTTGTAGAGAAGCGGTATTATAGTCAGCAGTAAAATCACAGTGGTTGTGGTGGCAAAAAGGTACTCTCCCAGGTCCAGATAGCAAACGTTGGTGTCGAAGTTGTAGAAGTTTTTGGGGAGTTTTTAATCTTGGCACTGTAGACTGTATAGTAAGACTAACTGGACTCTCTGGTTTGTCAAAGTCCAGTTCTGCAGGTCGCTGTTGAGGCAGGTGCAGCTAAGAGGAATGTTGCGCACGTCCAGGTAGCTCAGTTTGGGGAGAGCCTCTAGCACATTCACATCTAAGGATTACATTAAGTTTTGGTTGAGAAGCAAGATCTTCAGCTTTGTCAGATTCCCGAAAACCTCCATTGAGAAGGACTGGATGCCCATGTTCCTTGCACTGAGCTTGCAGCCACATCACCCCGGCATAGGAGTTGTCCAAGGAGAGGAAAGTCAAGTTGGTCAGATCGTCAAAAGTGTCTGCTGCGAAACAGAAGATGTGATTGTCCATGACGTTGAGCGATTGGAGGGAGCTGAGGCCACGGAAAAAAGCATAAGGCAAAACATTGAGGCCGTGGGGCATCTGCAGGTCTAGTTTGAGGTTGCAAAGTTTGGTTAGATTCACAAAAGGAGAGTTTAGAGGAGAACCTAACCTGATTACCATGTAGATCAAGCACTTCAAGAGTGGCATGGAATGGTTTAAATTTGGCGCAGTCGATCTGTTTGAAATTGTTGCCGTTTAGGTTAAATTTGGCCAGGTTATCGAGCCCCACAAAGGCTGACTCTTCAAAATTTGTGATTTTGTTCCCTACTAGATCCAAAATGTTCACGTGTTTGAGTGAATGGAAAATCTAGTTGAAAATAACAAATCAAATCAAATGTTATTTGCCACATGCGCCGAATACAACAGACTATTATTTATGCATAGTCACTTTAACTCTACCCACATGTACATATTACTTCAACTATCTCAACTAGCCGGTGCCCCCGCACATTGACTCTGCACCGGTACCCCCCTGTATATATAGCCTCCCTACTGTTATTTTATTTTACTTCTGCTCTTTTTTTCTCAACACTTTTTTTGTTGTTGTTTTATTTTTACTTTTTTTGTTAAAAATAAATGCACTGTTGGTTAAGGGCTGTAAGTAAGCATTTCACTGTAATGTCTGCACCTGTTGTATTCGGCGCATGTGACCAATAAAATTTTATTTGATTTGATTTACAGTGAAATGCTTAGTTACAAACCCTTACCCAACAATGCAGTTTTAAGAAAAATAAGTGTTAAGTAAAAAATAGATATGCAAAAATAAAGAAATAATAATAATTAAAGAGCAGCAGTAAAATAAAATAACAGTAGGAAGGCTATATATAGGGGGTACCGGTACAGAGTCAATGTCCGGGGGCACAGGTTGGTCGAGGTAATATGTACATGTGGGTAGAGTTAAAGTGACTATGCAGCTATCTGATTGTTATGTAGGTTAAGTATTTCCAGGCTCTGCAGATCTTCAAAGCCATCGTTGCACAGATCTGTCAGGAGGTTATTGTCCAAACCCAGTGTGACAAGACTAGTCAGCCCATTGAAAGCCTTATGGTCAAGATAGGCGATTATGTTTATGTTGAGTTGTAGGGTCTTCACATTTGTGTGTGGTGTGGTGGAAAGCAAAAGAGTTGACTTTGAGTGTGCGATTGTAACGGTAGTTCAGGTCTGTCAGATTCGGGAAAGAGAGATTCTGTCTGTTGCAGGACATTAGGGAGGTGAGGTGGCTTTTCTCTGCTCTGAAGTTGGTGATTTGATTCTGTCCTTTGAGAAAGTGGAGGCAGCTTACCTTCCTCAATTTGTTAAAGGAAAAGTCCAATAAACCTCGGATTGGTGGACAGTTGGAAAGTGTGTTCTTCCACAATGACAGAATCCCATTGCTTCGCAGACTCACCTTTTTAACAAATGTGACCTTTGTACTCAAAAGGTTGCATAACTCCATGAGCAGATTGTGAGTCTTCAACCCCATACCAGAGAAGTCTATGCTATTTTCAGGTCTCTCCAGAGATGTTCGATCGAGTTCAAGTCCGGGCTCTGGCTGGGCCACTCAAGGACATTCAGAGACTTGTCCTGAAGCTACTCCTGTGTTATCTTGGCTGTGTGCTTAGGGTCATTGTCCTGTTGGAAGGTGAACCTTCGCCCCAGTCTGAGGTGCTGAGCGCTCTGGAGCAGGTTTTCATCAAGGATATCTCTGTACTCTTGGGGACCTTCAATGCTGCAGACATTTTTTCGTACCCTTCCCCAGATCTGTGCCTCGACACAATCCTGTCTCGGAGCTCTAGGGATAATCCCTTCGACTTCATGGCTTGGTTTTTGCTCTGACATTCACTGTCAACTATGGGACCTTATATAGACAGGTGTGTGCCTTTCCAAATCATGTTCAATCTATTGAATTTACCACAGGTGGACTCCAATCAAGTTGTAGAAACATCTCAAGGATGATCAATGGAAACAGGATGCACCTGAGCTCAATTTCAAGTCTCATAGCAAAGGGTCTGAATACTTATGTAAATAAGATATTTCTGTTTTTTATTTTTATTACATTTGCTAAAATATCTAAAAACCTGTTTTCACTTTGTCATTATGGGGTATTGTGTGTAGATTGATGAGGGGATAAATAATTTAATCAATTTTAGAATAGGTCTGTAATGTAAAAAAATGTGGAAAAAGTCAAGGGGTCTGAATACTTTCCAAATGCATTGTATATGGCTAAGGAAGCCCCACTCCAATTCTAAAGTGAGCAGTTTGTTTTTACAGAGATAGAGGGTGGTGAGGGACTCCAGTACGTCTTTATGGTTAGAATGCTGGAGGGACATTAAATAGTTATTGCACAGGCCTAGTTGTGTCAGCTTCGGTAAGTGAGTCACAGATTCTGCCACCACAGAGAAGTTGTTCAGGTAGTTCTGCCGTAATATGATTGGAGAGAGATGAGAAAATAAGTAGAGGGAGCTTAATCAGCTAGTTATTATTTAGAGACAGATTGACAAGGTTCTTGAGGTCTTGAAACACAGAGGAGCTGAGATTTAATATATTGTTGAAGGACATTTTTAGGCTCTTCAGTTGGCTCAAATTTGAAACGCCTGGTTGTCTATGGTCTCCAGATGGTTATTGCCAATCTGAAGCATCCTGAGGTTAGGAAGGTGAACAAACGTATTATCGGGTATGTGTTTTATCAGGTTTATGGAGATTGTAACCGTGGTGGCATAGGGTGGCAGGTCACCTACAATGGCAGAAATGTTATTTGCCTGGTGATGGATGCAAATTAATATTGTGTGGTTTGAGGTTGGATCCTCAGTGCAATTCCTGAAGCTATAGCCAATGGTGAACTGGGCAATGTCAAGGACAATTGCTACTGATACCAATATTTTATTTTTTAGCCCGGCCATGTTTTCTGACGTGTGCAGCAGGAGAGTGAAAGGGTGAGTAATGTTTTACATCTAGTCCAATGGTTCTGAACTATTTCCAAGGAGAATCTTGCCCGTTAAAATCACAGTACTATCATTTTAAGTTCCAGGAAATGTTTGCATTGGAAAAATAAACGTGTTATTTTTGTTTCTTCAAATTAGTTGTCTGTTATATTCATCCTGAATTAGACTCCTTTATTCTACATGGGTACGCATGACGATAAGCCAGCTGAATGGGAGAAGGGAAAAACACATTTTACTGACTTTACAATACATTTCTCAGTGACGATTGGAAAATATAAAAATAACTGTGCCATTGTTAATTAACACAAGAGTCTCAGTTATCTTGCTCTTGTGGCTTTCAGGTTCCTCTTTTCCATTAGGTACTTTCCTTCACCAAATCATGATACACCTCAACCTCACCTCAGCCATCTCCCAATGGGGTCTTTGTAAGTTGGGCAAAGTTCACAGTTTGATTTGTTTATATCTTTTTTTTTGTATTGTATTGTTTTATGGACAGTGATAGTCGGAAATGTGGAGGGGAGACAGATACAGAGAGGACGGGTTAAGAAGGAATTGTATCCACATCGCCAGGGGTATATGTGGCCCAGAGTCTTGGGGGCTAACCACTGCACCCGACTGCCACAATTCTGTGGCATGTAATTATAGTGTATACTGTATAGTGTAATTATAGTTTATGTAATTATAGTGTACATAGTGTTTTAAAAATATTTCACTTCAGTCAATTCGTGAAGTAAATTGAAATTCCAATTACATCATTTAAATGTAGTAATTTAACTCTAATGAAGTGCAATCATTATACTTGCATCCTTCAAATGGTATGAATGGTACTTTTACATTTCATCTGTAAAATCAGTTTATATCCTGAATGGGACTAAAGTAAGATGGAATTGACCCCAATCCAGATCAATAAATGGATCATACAGCTGTCTCATAGCAGATGTATGCAGGGCCGTAACCAGGGTCTGAGTTTTAGTGATGTCTGGAAGGGGAGGGGATTTGAAGTTCATTTACTGCATTTCTATACAATTAAAAAACGTTTAAATGCAATTTGAAGATCAGCAAAGACTAGCGAAAATGACCCCAGCCATTATCACCTTGGTTTCTGTAGGTTCAATCACCTCAGTCAATCTACAAACACATAGCCTATTAGCTATACAATTGTAATGTTATACCCAAAGATATTAAAACCATGTTATACCCCTGAAAGGGGGAAAATATGAGAAATGATTCACACTGACACGTAGCATCAGCGAATGTTCAGTCAGTTGTAATGATACATTGCATAAAATCAAAAACTCTTTACATAGATAACTATTTTCTCAAATTACATAGCATTTACATTGGTATTCTTAGGCATTACTAATCAAGCTCTGCACAAACAGACAACAACGGAGCACACAGACATCAATGGAGCACACAGATTATCATATCATATTCAAATGAATTATTAGAATGTTACTTACGATTCTGTATTAATATGAGGGATGTAGTGGTAAAAAAATAAAAGGTGATGGGTAAACTATAAAATCCAGTGGGCGATCGAGAGAAGACAAAACAACCACCGATATAAACAAAAACGTATGCCATTTTTAGAACTGTATTGTTTGCATTTTGATTGCATTTTAATGTAGGCCTATAGGGAAGATAGGCCATGTGGAAATGTTCATATTTAAATATATTTTTTTAAAGTTCTTAACTTGTTTGGTAAGATTAGTACAGATTTTCTCAGGAGACCCCACATGGGGTGCCGACCCCAAGTTTGGGAACCACTGTACTAACCTCTCTGCTTGCTTCCTTTCTCACTCTGTCTCCTCTGCTTCCTTCTGCATGCATTGCAGCCTGCCTCAGCCTCACCACCAGTGGCGGCTCCTGAAAAAATTCTCAGGGGGGGCAATTTTTCTGATGATTTAGGTGACCTACACACATTTTAAAAAAGATATGTCCAGCAACAACATGAAGACAGGGGCAGCATATAAGTCAATACCAGAAGCATTTATTGACTGATCTCAAAAGTGTTGGCTTACCAGGGTTGGTGGAGCCCTCAGTTTCATCTTTGCCTCGCAAAGCTAACTCAAACACTCCGCAAAACTTCACACACTGGATTAGCCGGCTGAGGATGTGGCGGTTCTTGCTAATGTCGTAGTAAATATATTTGTTATAGTGAATATGGAATATGATATGTTGAGTAAAATGTTGTGCTAAGATCTATTTAGGTCAGGAGCTGGTTATAAGTTCTGTTCCTATCCAATAACAATGGACAAAAGGGTCCTATCTTGTCAGCCTTGTCAGCAGGTGGCCAAGGACAACACCCACGCCATAGGCCTCTCAGTTCTTCCAACTCACGAGTTCTTGCTCTGAGGACACACACACACACACACACACAAACACACACACACACACATCATCACTGTTAAACACACACACACACACACACACACACACACACACACACATCATCACTGTTAAACACACACACACACACACACACACAAAAATCCCCTCTCTTAGGCTGAACATTTGAAGACAGAGAACCCGACTCAGAGCCAATGCAACAGTGACAGTAGCCTGGAGGGGACCTCGCCCAACTCATCAGGACCAATCAGAAGATCAGAACTACTAGATTCAACCTACTTCATTTATTGCATAAAATGTCTGCACACAATGTTTCGGGGCTCTCTTCAGATAATAATAATAATAATAATAATAATATGCCATTTAGCAGACGCTTTTATCCAAAGCGACTTACAGTCATGCGTGCATACATTTTTGTGTATGGGTGGTCCCGGGGATCGAACCCACTACCTTGGCGTTACAAGCGCCGTGCTCTACCAGCTGAGCTACAGAAAGTGGATACTCATGGATGCGCATCGCAATTGTAAAATGTCAACACAATTGGAGACACCACGTCATTTTTGGAGACATGTTATTGACAGTAAACTATTGTAGATGCGACTGCTAACTAAATAAAACATTTTAGCTGGCTAGCTAATCATCTTAGCTAAATGTGGGGCAAACAATTCAGTTATTTACCGTTAATTTGAGGGATTGGGGTGAAAGAAATCGAGTTACATAGTGATACTTTACGATATACTGTATTGACAATATCGCAATATTTTAGCGCTAGTTGGCTGTACCTGCACCAAAACACCATTATTGTTCCTTCATAGCTTGTTCTCAATCTTTTCACATTGGGAGCCAATTTGTTTTCAGCACTTTTATTTCCATGACTGATCAAAACTCGTTCTCATGGCTTTCTGATCCCTCTGCAACAGACATATGGTGCGCAATAAAATCACAGTATCGAATCGCAATACGTATAGAATCATGAGACTCGCAATGCATATATCTTATCGTGAGGTTCCTGGCAATTCCCAGCCCAAGTTCATTTGCCACAACAAATCTCTTCGCTAGCAAACGCGATGTCTTCTCCAAAACGGCAATGTGTCTCCAGCAATGTTTACTTTTTTGACGTTCTATGGCATCTCCACTTTCCAAGCATATATGACCACATGTAATATTTTGGTAAGTGATGCAAATAGTGAACTATGTAGGGCCAGGATGTAAAATATATGTAGCTGCAGCAATTTCTCTTATCTGATATGGTAAGTAATGGGGCTTAATGTATAGCTCCCTAAGAGTTTGACGAACGGGTCCGTGCACGCGATTCCAGATATCTTTACCTCTGAATAAACTGCCTTTATTATACCATATCCACCCTGTCCAAAGTCTCTACTTGGTCTCAGTTCTCCAGTAAACTTGTGATTATCAACACTAACCTCATCGTTGTGGCGGCGGACAGCTAGCCTGTATCCCTCATCCAGTTGAGTGGCAATGTTATTTTTTCGTTCGTACCAATTTTTGGAAAATCCTCGGGTGTAGGACTTTCCGCCTTTAGTAGAAACCTGTTGAATTATTAAATTTGGTCTGGGAGGTCCTAATTGTTTCGTTGCCAATTTATCTTCATTTGTTCGCCGACAAAAAGGAACTTCTTTCAAAGACACAATCCGCTCTTTTCTTAGTTACGTTCATGGTTACGTTACGTATGACGAAAGCGCGTAAGTGCAAGCCCTCAGACACCCATAGAGATTGTATTGAAAGCTCTGAAATTTGAAAAAAATAGATTTTACATGGGAGTCTATGACAGACTTCTGGGCGATTTTCAACCTGACTGAAATCGCCCCAAAAGGGGGGGGAGCCATTTGAAGCACGACTTTAGCCTGATTGGACATTACAACACTGATAACTACTGTTGCCGTGATATAATTGATTAGAAAAAAAATCCCTTCCTTTTCCCGTTTGGCAGTGCGTCGCCCATATCGCCCTATTGAACACACCGCCCCTGCTCACCACTGAGCGTCACATTATGGTCTGTCTCAGTAGCCTACTTTCTGTAAAGCAATGTTATTGTGAGAACTTAGTAGCCTATTTTATGCTCAGTTTAGGCTCCGTTTAAAGCTGCAATATGTAACTTTTTGGGCCACCTGACCAAATTCACATAGAAAAGTGAGTTAGATCTGTCATTCTCATTGAAAGCAAGTCTAAGAAGTGGTAGATCTGTTCTATGTACACTAGTTCTATGCTTCCCATTCTTAAGTTTAATTTTTGCATATTTTACTTTGTTTCATATACCAGCTTCAAACAGCTGAAAATACAATATTTTTGGTTATGGAAAATATATTTCTCAGTGGTTTAGATGGTACAATGATTCTCTACACTATACTTGGTTGTTTTGTCACATACACTGAGATTAAGTGAACTATTAGAATTCTAGCAACCAGGAAAAGGAGTAGCAATTTCTGCATATTTCACCTTTAACGTTAGCTTCTTACTTCCTCCTAGCTGGCTAAGGAATACTAGCCAGAGCCCTTCAACGTTACTGCAATAGAAGTCTCTGCTGGCAGCTAGTCTGACTGACTGACATACTGTATCTATAAGCAACTATTTACCAGCAGTGCACTCATTCTCAGAGAGTCGTTTTTTGTTTGTTTGGGGGATGTCTGTAGACACGGCAGGAGTTGTGGGCCGGTTTTAAAAATGGCCTTTTGTCTGTCATATTGCAAACCCACTGTCAGCAGCGTCTCTAGTTGCCGACTCCGAGCTGGGGTAGTTTGTTTCACATCTCAGGCCCTCGGCCTGTGCAGCGAGAGGGCGGAGTTAGCCGTTTGAGAGAGTGGTGATTGTGCTGCTAAAAAGGACAAATCCGGGGGACGCAAGCGAACATAACGAACAAACCACTGTTAATGATTCCACTCATTCACAGAGGCAGGTGTGATTAGAACTCAGTCAGATCAAGAAGATAAATAAGCCTTCTGAGCTTTGATCGACGCTGGAAGCAATATTTAGATATTGACCCATCATTTATTTTCTTTATTGTGTACAAATTACATATTTTATTATTATTATTATTATTATTATTATTATTATTATTATTTTCAAATTAGAAAAAATGACAGAGGTCCGGACCTCGGTGTCCTCATATGTAGTTACGTGTTACCGGCTTTGGTTTTTCCATTTATATTTCGAGGTTGGACGTTAGCACGTGGTGTCACCTCGTTAGTCAGTATGTGTTACACCTGAGCTGGTTTGTCATCTCTTTAGTGGGAAGGTGTTTCTCCTGTGCTGGCCCAGGTGCTATTTAAGAGTGGCTGGCCCAGTGCTCCAGTTGTCTTGAGAGACGTGGAGGGTTAACACCTTTAGTTGGCTCTACCTATTTGATTTCTACACAAACAATCCTTTATCTGATCTTCCCTGTTTTTGTTTTGCTCCACTTTTTGGTGTGCTTCCTTTCTTTAAGTTTGGTGTGGGTTCTTCTTTTGTTTGCCTCTTCTTGGCCAAATTTTGTGGGCGCTCATGGTGGGTGTCTTTTAGGTCCTAGTTGTTGTTGCTAGTCAACTTTCAGTGGACCCCACCTTTGTTAGTTCCCCTTTCTGTTTGAGTGACAATTTTGGGTTTTCTTGCCGGGAAACCTGGAGGTCTGAATGCTTCTCAACCACTGAGAAATCAAAGCATTGACTTCTGTACTACTGCATGCAGTGATTTTCATAATCTGACAAATTACTGGTTAAATGAAATTTCCCTTATCATAATCCATAGCATAATCTACAACTTTCGTTAACCTATCATAATCCATCATAACATAATTTGATAATGAGTTATCAAACACTTGTCAATTTTAAGTTAAGGCTATTTGTAACATTAAAATAAAGCTAAATTATATCTGAAGTCCCATATAATCTTAATCAAAAGCCTCCAGTCCCGCTTTACCTGTGCTCTGAGGGCTGTGTCATGTTGGTCCTTTCTGCTACATTATGAACGTTTGTCTCTTAATCCTTGTTTAATGACTGACACGATTTTCACTTTGGTTGTACAGAAAGAGGAAGAAAATTGACAACTGACCTCAAGTCATGGGACACATTCAATTGAAAGTTGTTCTCCATTTATTGTTCTTTATTTACATGGAGAGGGAGAGGAAAACCCAGGGACACCAGTCAAGAATGTGCCAAAAGAAGCTTTGGTACAAAACACATTCTTGACTTTTCTACCCCTGGATTTTCCTCTCCATGTAAATTAAGAAAAGTCAATGTAACAGTAAACTTTCATTTGAATGTGAAAATGGTCCTTTATTGAAATCCGAAACATCTCAATCCGGTCATTTTCAAACAAGCAAATACACGCAACACCATTGGATCATGATAGAAAACACCACTATATAAAGTACCTCATAATAGGAAATGGTATAATGTATAGCTTAAGCTACTGTTCTTTAGTAGTATAATGGTATTATAAGAGTATTACACAGACAATAATAATAAATATGGGGTGGATTGGCCACAGTCAAGGCATAACTGTAACAAAGTTATTGTGTTCATAGGATTTTCCATACAGGCTGTGACATCGTACCTGTGACGTCAGAAGACACACTGTGTGATTGTCATTAAGCCCGTCCCTATTCCCCTCATTTAACCAATCAGCCTCTCATCTTCTGCTCCCTGGCCATCTGACAGAGTCCACAGAAAGGCAGGCAGGTCATGACTACCCAGTCATCACACACGGAACCCTGAGTAAAAACATAAAAGGTTCACATGTAAAGCATAACATAAACAATAAACACTTATAGGTAGGGCATTGACTTTTGCTTGACCACGTGACCTGACAAGGAAAATCTCAGTCAGGCCGCAGATAGACTATAAATAGGGTCAGAGTTTTTCTTGTTCAGGTCATGTTGTCAGGAAAAACTCCTGGCCCTATTACAGGGGATGTCTATGAAGGAGGGTAGAGAGAGAACAGGGGGACCCATAAGATTGACTTGTCTAAACCTAGTCTCCCGAGTGGCGCAGTGGTCTAAGGCACTGCATCGCAGTGCTAGCTGTGCCACTAGAGATCCTGGTTCGTATCCAGGCTCTGTCGTAGCCGGCCGCGACCGGGAGACCCATGGGGCGGCGCACAATTGGCCCAGCGTCGTCCAGGGTAGGGGAGGGAATGGCCGGCAGGGATGTAGCTCAGTTGGTAGAGCATGGCGTTTGCAACGCCAGGGTTGTGGGTTTGATTCCCACGGTGGGCCAGTATGAAATAAATAAAAAAACGAATGTATGCACTCACTAACTGTAAGTCGCTCTGGATAAGAGCGTCTACTAAAATATAAAAAATGTAAACCCATCTCTTTTAGCATTCTTTTTTTTTCACAATTTTTTTTCACATTCTAATATGGCCTGCAGTAGAAAAACTGAATGAAAACATGATGTACAACACCCAGTTGTGGCTAACTGTAAACTTGCACATCCTTGACTGCACTGTTGTTTAATAAGAATAGCCAACTGTTGACTCCTTCAGTCTTCACTTCTGGACTAAAGCCAGTATTCAATTAAATCGCAGGTTATAGGCATTGCGGCTTAGGCAATGTTCCTGCGTTCGCAGAGATCCCATTCACGGTAAATTCTGCATATGTCGTCTCAATCGGATTGCCTTTAATAATAATAATAATAATATGCCATTTAGCAGACGCTTTTATCCAAACCGACTTACAGTCATGTGTGCATACATTTTTACGTATGGGTGGTCCCGGGGATCGAACCCACTACCCTGCCGTTACAAGCGCCATGCTCTACCAATTGAGCTACAGAGGACCGCAATGCCTATCAACCTGAGATCAGATTGATTCCGAGCCTTACACTATATACTATACTCACTAACATTCTGTTAGAATGTTAAAGGAAATATTTAAATTACAACTCTTTCAGGCCTAACAAATAATAGATATTTCCCATTTGAATCCTGGACATAGGGTTTGTATTGATGATGTAGTAGGGTCACTCACAGGGATGCGGTATTTGCTGCGGATGCTTGTCCTCAGGGCGATCAAGGCTCCAGGGAGGAAAGGAACACAGCAGCTGTCTCCGTTGTCCTGAGCAATCTTACAGCCCAGGATACACGGCAAGAAGATCGCACACAGACCTGGAGGAAAAAAATGAAAGTCACGCTGTCTCCACCGTTCATTTTAGGTGTGGCTATTTGGGGTTGGTAGTGGTCATCACGGTTATATTAGTTGTGCAGAACTCCTGATACCGAGTAGCCTCACCCAGTCTATGGCTTTTTAAACAGTGTACACAACGCAATGCAAACCTTGTGCATGCGTCAGGTAAGCGGCAGGAGATAACCATTGGGACTCTAGTTAGCTTTGGGGCGGCAGGTAGCTTAGTGGTTAAGAGCGTTGTGCCAGTAACCAAAAGGTCGCTGGTTCTAATCCCCGAGCCGACTAGGTGAAAATCTGTTGATGTGCCCTTGAGCAAGGCACTTAACCCTAATTGCTCCTGTAAGTCGCTCTGGATAAGAGCGTCTGCTAAATGACTAAAATGTCATTTTACACACACACAAACCCACACAGAGGGGGACTCACAGATGCCACAGTCATCGCAGCAGTCACAAACGTTGGAGCTCCAATCGGAGGACCCAGAGGAAGTCACGGTGTAGTTGTTGATGGTGACCTGAGGCTGGGAGCTGATCAGCATTGGAAAAAGGTGCAAGTTTAAATTTGTTCAGCCTTAGCAAGTCTGACCACAAGACAGAGACCACTATGATGACACACCCAATTGGTTTGATGGATCGTGGGAAAAGAGCAGGAATAGGCTTGTAGGTTACAGTTCAAGCTACTGTATGTCTTCCAATGGTGCGACTGCTGTTGGTATTCAAAGATTCTCCAATTTGAATAAACGCTTGGAGGTAAAGACGACAGCAGTGGTGTAGCCACGGGCAATACGGATATCGCTTATTGATATCTACATAGCGCTATGATGTGAATCACACTGCTGCTCTCATTTAGCTATTTGTGCCTTACGAATTGTGGTTATTGTGGATGGCTTTTCACAAATGTAGGCTATATGTGTACACTGCTCAAAAAAATAAAGGGAACACTTAAACAACACAATGTAACTCACATTTCTGTGAAATCAAACTGTCCACTTAGGAAGCAACACTGATTGACAAATGTCACATGCTGTTGTGCAAATGGAATAGACAACAGGTGGAAATTATAGACACCCCCAATAAAGGACTGGTTTTGCAGGTGGTGTTCCTATGCTTCCTGGCTGATGTTTTGGTCACTTTTGAATGCTGGCGGTGCTTTCACTCTAGTGGTAGCATGAGACGGAGTCTACAACCCACACAAGTGGCTCAGGTAGTGCAGCTCATCCAGGATGGCACATCAATGCGAGCTGTGGCAAGAAGGTTTGCTGTGTCTGTCAGCGTAGTGTCCAGAGCATGGAGGCGCTACCAGGAGACAGGCCAGTACATCAGGAGACGTGGAGGAGGCCGTAGGAGGCAACAACCCAGCAGCAGGACTGCTACCTCCGCCTTTGTGCAAGGAGGAGCAGGAGGAGCACTGCCAGAGCCCTGCAAAATGACCTCCAGCAGGCCACAAATGTGCATGTGTCTGCTCAAACGGTCAGAAACAGACTCCATGAGGGTGGTATGAGGGCCCGACGTCCACAGGTGGGGGTTGTGCTTACAGCCCAACACCGTGCAGGATGTTTGGCATTTGCCAGAGAACACCAAGATTGGCAAATTCGCCACTGCGCCCTGTGCTCTTCACAGATGAAAGCAGGTTCACACTGAGCACGTGACAGACGTGACAGAGTCTGGAGACGCCGTGGAGAACGTTCTGCTGCCTGCAACATCCTCCAGCATGACCGGTTTGGCGGTGGGTCAGTCATGGTGTGGGGTGGCATTTCTTTGGGGGGCCGCACAGCCCTCCATGTGCTCGCCGGAGGTAGCCTGACTGCCATTAGGTACCGAGATGAGATCCTCAGACCCCTTGTGAGACCATATGCTGGTGCGGTTGGCCCTGGGTTCCTCCTAATGCAAGACAATGCTAGACCTCATGTGGCTGGAGTGTGTCAGCAGTTCCTGCAAGAGGAAGGCATTGATGCTATGGACCACCCGTTCCCCAGACCTGAATCCAATTGAGCACATCTGGGACATCATGTCTCGCTCCATCCACCAACGCCACGTTGCACCACAGACTGTCCTGGAGTTGGCGGATGCTTTAGTCCAGGTCTGGGAGGAGATCCCTCAGGAGACCATCCGCCACCTCATCAGGAGCATGCCCAGGCGTTGTAGGGAGGTCATACAGGCACGTGGAGGCCACACACACTACTGAGCCTCATTTTGACTTGTTTTAAGGACATTACATCAAAGTTGGATCAGCCTGTAGTGTGGTTTTCCACTTTAATTTTGAGGGTGACTCTAAATCCAGACCTCCATGGGTTGATACATTTGATTTCCATTGATAATTTTTGTGTGATTTTGTTGTCAGCACATTCAACTATGTAAAGAAAAAAGTATTTAATAAGATTATTTCATTCATTCAGATCTAGGATGTGTTATTTTAGTGTTCCCTTTATTTTTTTGAGCAGTGTATTTTAACCCAATAATGGTTGAATTTAAGAAGTTTAAGCTGCCTATCAAGCATTGTTTTTGTGACCAGTGGACAAAAATACGCTCTTACAGCAGCTGCATAGTGTGGATCCCAGCCTTTGGAAAACAAGTTTGAGGAAGTTTCTGGTATTGTGATCCATACTGTCAAAGAAGACCACGATTGGGGCTTTTATTGCTAAGTCTAATTTGTGCTGATTAAAAAAACATGTCCATAGGCCTACACTGTAAAAATAGAAAGACTTGAAACCCCATGATTGTGTAGTGAAAAGCAGTTTACCTAAAGTAGTTTACCTAAGCTGAGCTCTGGTGTTTGGAGGGTGTTTGAATGGAAACCCCAATGTAAGTGTTATGATACAGAGAAAGTGCTTTAAAAACAGAATAGAAGTACCTCTGAAACACCCAAACTGGTTCTTCAATCTGAATGTTGGTGTTTTTAAGAGAGTAGTTGTGAAAACACTTTTTGGTGTTTCTGTGCATGTAAAAATCAGCATCAAAACAGGAGGGTGGGGGGGGGAAACATGTTGACTCACCCTACTGGTAGAGAAATGCCAATGCCATCCTCCTCTCTTTCATGTTGACGAAACGGTCTATGACTCTGTCATACAGCACACACTTTTAGATTTTGTTGTCCTAGGCTACCTAGCTAAAATGCTTGCTCGCTAGCCTAAATTCCTTTCATGATCAACAATGAGCCAGCTAGTTAACTACATCTAGCTAACCTACATATTGAACTTCCATCCTCTCAGGCCAGGGGCACAATGTATGAATTTACGGTTGGATCAGAATCACCATTATAATCGTTGGACAGTATGGAGAATTAAGTAAAACCACAAGTCCAAATCCCTATCTCCATCCATGTCTAATTTAGAAAAGGGCCAATTTTAGCTATCTAGCTAGCCACCAGAGAACAATGACAAAACAGTATTATTATTTTTTGTGCACCAGGACCATTCAGATTAAGGGCTTCAACCATTTAAAAATAGTCAACTGGGTGGGACTTCTTATGGGTTAAGGAATGATCACATGATTCTATCAGTGTCATCAGGAGGGATCAGTCAATGTTCAGAGCATTTTCTTTTTCTTCGAATTGGTAGCTCAATTGGTAGAGCATGGCGCATGCAACGCCAGGGCTGTGGGTTCGTTTCCCATGGGGGGCCAGTAAGAAAAATGTATGCAGTCACTAACTGTAAGTCGCTCTGAATAAGAGTGTCTGCTAAATGACTAAAATGTAAATGTAAATGTAAAATGTTTTCCTAGATGGTCAATGGTGTTAAGCTACTATTACCGCCATCTAGTGGATGCAATGAATGAATGAATGACACAAAATGGTTCAGGGCTCCAGCATTGCAGGTGGCAGTAAATCACCAAAATAAGCTGTATACATTTATCAAAACAACAGATATAGAAGAATTTTGACTCACAGACGGCATAATGGGAAATATATAGGGATGCGTCCTATCCTTCTCTATGAGCTAAGCAGACCTGTTAAGCAGACCGGAACAGACCATTTTTTTCAATGATAAACGGCCTTAATTTAAAATCCACCATATTTGCTATGGGTAGCTACTGCAAGACTTTGGGTGCACCTACTATGTCCTTTGCAGTTTTGATAACAACGTTACGACGAGGAAAGTAGCTAGCTAGAACGGTACACAGTGTTCTTCGCCCCGCTTGTCGAGCACTGCGTTCTTGCAGTTCTGATAACTCTGTTGGCGGGACCGGTGTCATAGCTAGCTACTTCTTCTTCTATGGTATTATAGTGGCCCGCAAACAAATGTTTAAGGTGTTACTGCAACCGCAACCTACCGTGCTGGAGCTACTTAGCATCCTTCTAAGCTAACTAGCTACTTCCCTCGAGCAAGACCCCAGTATGGCAACACAACCTTGTCTCAGAGCATTTCGTATTATTCTATACGTAAATCCGAGATAATCCATTTAATATGATATGTTATATTTCACATGGTATGTATTAATTGTGGATGTCCATCACCCATGTCGTATGATATGTTACGAATTACAATTCGTATCTTACGAATTTGCAAAACATATGATTTCTTACGAATTTTAGCTAGGTGGATAACATTGTTTTGAATAATTTATTGTTTGATGAGTCTGATTTGGAGGTATAACCTGAGTCAAGTTTGAGCTTTACAACTGCATTTAAATGTGTAATTTTTTTCAATTTCATGTTTATTTAAAGCTGCACTATCTAGGTTTGTAGCGACCCAAAATATTTTCCAATTAAATTTGAGCTGTAGATAGGGTTGGGGTCAATTCCATTTACATTTCAGTCAATTCAGGAGGTACACTGGAATTCTAATCCCAAATCTCTTCAATGCATTTCAATAAGGAACATTTTTAATTGGAATGTGGTTTACTTTCTGAATTGACTGGAAATAAAACGGAATTCACCCCAACCCTGGTTGCAGATCTGTCATTTTCATTGAAAGTATGACAAGTGGCAGATATGTTCTATGTGCTATACTTCTATGCTTTCCCATACGTTTATGAACTATTTGCTGTATGTAAAAAAATATATATAGAACAAATATGAAAAAGGTGCCTACATATCTTGGAGCTTAAGACAAAAGGGGATATCTACTTTATACAGTGCATTTGGAAAGTATTCAGACCTCTTGACTTTTTCCACATTTTGTTATGTTACAGCCTTATTCTAAAAAAATTATAATAATAATAATCCTCATCAATCTACCCACAATACCCCATAATGACAAATAATACCTTATTTACATAATTATTTAGCCCGTTTGCTATGAGACTTGAAATTGAGCTCAGGTGCATCCTGTTTCCATTGATCATCCTTGAGATGTTTCTACAACTTGATTGGAGTCCAGCTGTGGTGAATTCATTTGATTGGACATGATTTGGAAAGGCACACACCTGTATATATAACATCCAACTGTTGACAGTGCATGTCAGAGCAAAAACCAAGCCATGAGGTTGTAGAAATTGTCCGTAGAGCTCCTAGACAGGATTGTGTCGAGGCACAGATCTGGGGAAGGGTACCAAAAAATGAGTTTCTCCCATTCTTCTCTGCAGATCCTCTCATTTACAATTTACCACACTGTTTTCATTTTATTGAGGTACTGAGAACATTTTATTTAACTGTTTTGTGTGAAGCACGCTATTGAGTTTGAAATTGTCCTGCTACTTGTCATGCAATGGAATATGCAAATAAACTCGCAATATTCAGATGAACTCTTCTCAGAATCATCATCTTAAATATAATATATTTTGGTAATGGTATATCATTCTTTAAAAATATATACTGGCAAAACAAATAACCGTGCATATTGGTTTGTCTTTCAGATAATAAGACAGTGATTTCAACTGGATTCTGAAATGAACATCACTGATATAAAATATTGGGATGAGGATTGGAACGACTACGTTGACCTCGAGGATGACACTGCTCCAAGATCGAGGCAAACTGAAGGTCACAGTGGCTCATGCGTCCCCAAATATACAGCACCTCAGGAGCTGACTCACTTCCAGATGACTCACAAGGTATATACAGCAAAGTCTTATTTTTAGCAGTTAAAATAATGTTTTGTAATTCAGAGATAAATTCTTATCTGCCATGAGTGAATAAAGCAACTTAAAGTACACACAATAGAGACAACTTTGGGGGGAGGGGGGTATTCAAATAATTCAAATTGACAACGTTTTGTGTTTGAGTTCATCTTGAATCTTGAAGTGTGTCCCCTGGAAGGCACATCTGGAGCTGACGCCCCTGAAAAAAGCTGGCCAGACAATTTCACTATATGTGAGGTCACTTTGTCACTGTATCTTAAAAAGGCTTTACGGAACTCAGTGGATATCACAAAACCTCAATTTCATCACCTGAGGGGTATGTTGCTGTCTGCAGTTGTTGACGAAGCACTGCAGTACACAACATATCCTGAAAAGTCTAATGGCAAATGCCATAATCTTGAAATGGCCACACCTGAAGGCCAAATGGGGTTCACCCACTATGGTGTGGCTTACGTGCATTACGGACAAACTAAAGAACAGATGGAAAGGCATAGTCCCACGTTTAGGAGAGACACAGTTTTGGGGAAGACTAATTAAAAGTGGTGGAAACAACATACTTGCCCTAGGTATCAGAGCATATCATTTAAAAAAGAACAGAATTTGGCAAGTAAAAAAAGATGTCTGGGAAAAATTTCAAAAAAAATATTTGAAAATTTTTAAAACCCAAAGAGGTTTAACCGGAAAAATAAGGAAATATAAAACCCCCTTTTTTAAAAATTTTGGGGTATTCCCTTCCTAAAAATTTTTCAAGCACGGGCCTCCGCCGGGGAAAGTTATGGAAGGGGTAACTTAAAAAAAAAGGGGGGCCAACCCCGGAAGCCAAAGGGGTTCCCAAAAACTTTGGGGGTAGCATTTCGGGGAAATAAAGAACAATGGGGCAACCCCCCCACTAAAGGGCCCCAGCCCCCCTCCTTGGGAAGACGTACACTGTTTATAAAGTGGTGGAAAACAAGCAGTATTGTCTGCTGTTTTTTTGTGTTTCTATTCAGCATTATAATTTAAAAATGACATATTTTGGCTAATGTACCCAAAGAAGTGTGACTGTACTTTCAAATTTATACAGGTGCAGATACTGAAAAGGCCAGCTTTTTTAAAACAAATTTTTTTCAAAAGCATGTCTGGTGAAACACCTTTTTCGTTATATAATTTTGAGTATTAACGTTATGCAGGCAGGAGGCAGTTCATTTGAAGTGCATTCGGAAAATATTCAGACCCATTGACTTTTTCACATTTTGTTACGTTACAGCGTTATTCTAAAACGGATTAAATGTTTTTTTTCCCCCTCATCAATCTACACACAATACCCCATAATGACAAAGCAAAAACAGGTTTTTAGACATTTTGGCACATTTACTTAATATAAAAAATGGAAAAATGACATTTACATAAGTATTCAGACCCTTTACTCAGTACTTTGTTGAAGCACCTTTGGCAGCGATTACAGCCAAGAGTCTTCATGGGTATGACGCTACAAGCTTGGCACACCTGTATTTTGGGAGTTTCTCCCATTCTTCTCTGCAGATCCTCTCAAGCTCTGTCAGGTTGGATGGGGAGTGTCGCTGCACAGATATTTTCAGGTCTCTCCAGAGATGTTTGATCGGGTTCAAGTCCGGGCTCTGGCTGGGCCACTCAAGGACATTCAGAGACTTGTCCCGAAGCCACTCCTGCATTGTCTTGGCTGTGTGCTTGGAGTCGTTGTCCTGTTGGAAGGTGAACCTTCATCCCAGTCTGAGGCCCTGAGCGCTCTGGAGCAGGTTTTCATCAAGGATCTCTTTGTACTTTGATCCGTTCATCTTTCCCTCGACCCCGACTAGTCTCCCAGTCCCTGCCGCTGCAAAACATCCCCACAGCATCACCGTAGGGATTGTGTCAGGTTTCCTCCAGACGTGACGCTTGGCATTCAGGCCAAAGAATTTCATCTTGGTTTCATCAGACCAGAGAATCTTGTTTCTCATGGTCTGAGAGTCTTTAGGTGCCTTTTGGCAAACTCCAAGCGGGCTGTCATGTGCTTTTTAATGAAGAGTGGCTTCTGTCTGGCTACTCTCCCATAAAGGCCTGATTGGTGGAGTGCTGCAGAGATGGTTGTCCTTCTGGAAGGTTCTTCCATCTCCACAGTAGAACTCTGGAGCTCTGTCAGAGTGACCATCAGGTTCTTAGTCACCTCCCTGACCAAGGCCCTTCTCCCCCGATTGCTCAGTTTGGCTGGGCGGCCAGCTCTAGGAATAGTCTTGGTGGTTCCAAACTTCTTCCATTTAAGAATGATGGAGGCCACTGTGTTCTTGGGGACCCGTCAATGCTGCAGAAATGTTTTGGTACTGTTCCCCAGATCTGAGCCTCGACACAATCCTGTCTCAGAGCTCTACGGACAATTCCGTACAGGATGCACCTGAGCTCAATTTCGAGTCTCATAGCAAAGGGTCTGAATACTTGTGTAAATAAGGTATCTGTTTTTTATTTGTAATACATTTGCTAAAAATTCTAAAAACCTGTTTTCGCTTTGTCATTATGGGGTATTCGTGTAGATTGATGAGAATTTGTATTTATTCAATCAATTTTAGAATAAGGCTGTAACATAACAAAATGTGGAAAAAGTCAAGAGGTCTGAATACTTTCCGAATGAACTGTATTTTTAGAAATACTGTGAATAGAGTTTAATTATACTTTTTGTCATTCTAGCTTTAATTTTGTATGGCATGTTTCTATTATCATGTTGAAGTTTGGACTGTACTTTTTGCTTGTTTATGCAAATGTATGTATAGATTATGTAATGTACCAATAATGTAAAGACGATATAATGTATTATAGATAATGCCAAAGGAAATACTGTTCCATGTTTGACTCTGATTGTTTTTAGTGTCTCAGAACTCTGAGCGGTCCGCAATGTATGTGTTTTCTTCTGTATTTTGTATTGTCAATTGATGTATCATTGTGGAGTGACACTTTAACAAAATTG